CCCCCTCATAGTTCTCCTTTACCCTTCCTCCTATGCCGCAGACACCAACATACTCTCATTAAAGACTGACAGCTTCCACCTGAGACTCATCACACAGGTGTTTTGCGTTGTGAAGATGTGTGTGTGCGCTGCTCTGATTGGGTCTCTCCTTCCCCTCCCTGCAGGGCTCATCGTGTCTCTACAGCTCCTGCGGGGGGACATGGAGCAGATCAGACGGGAGAACCAAATTCTGTTTAACAGAGGCGCAGCCGTCACCCGCAAGCTGGGCTTTCCTGACGTCATCATGCCAGGTACAGGGGGGGAGGGGCCATCGTCTATGAAACTGCACATTTACCTTCCCCTCCTCCATCAGAGAGAAACAGGAAACATTTCTATTACAAAGTAGAAAGTTTTATTTTCCACCCAGGAAGTGACCTTAAAGCTGAACTCCGGACAGGAAAACTATCACACAAAAAAGTATATAAATCCACTGCGTGTGCCCCAAATGCCTTTGCAAACCGAGATAGTACGTTGTGAAAATAGTAGTGACATCATCACCCCAGGCCCCCACCCACTATTGGCCACCTGCAGCAAATTACAGGAGGGGGCGGAGACAAGGCCAGTCACCCTGCACAATGAGAGAGAGCGGCAGTGACAGGTCTATATTACAGGAGGAGGCGGAGACAAGGCCAGTCACCCTGCACAATGAGAGAGAGCGGCATTGAGCGGTCTTTATTACAGGAGGGGGCGGAGACAAGACCAGTCACCCTGCACAAGGAGAGGGAGCGGCAGTTAACGGTCTATATTACAGGAGCGGGCGGAGACAAGACCAGTCACCCTGAACAAGGAGAGGGAGCAGCAGTGACTGGTCTTTATTACAGGAGGGGTCGGAGACAAGACCAGTCACCCCGTACAAGGAGAGAGAGCAGCAGTGACCGGTCTATATTACAGGAGGGGGCGGAGAGAAGACCAGTCACCCCCTACAAGGAGAGACAGAGCAGCAGTGAGCGGTCCCTGGTCAAATCACCTAAACGGGGACCCACCCCGTATACAGGAGCTGCTGTCTGAGCTGCAGCACAAAGCAGGACTTAAATGTCAGATTGGAGCCACATGGGGGAAGGAAGGCTTGGACGTACAAGGTATGTTCAAGGTCTAGCAACAGTAGCACAGGCAGGCACGGGCCCTCTAGAAGCTGTGGGCCCTGGGCAGCTGCCTGAATCACCTAAATGGGGACCCACCCTGTATACAGGAGCCATTGTCTGAGCTCCAGAAGCACAAAGCGGGACTTGGTTGTCAGAGTGTGGCTGCCAACGGCAGGCACGGGCCCTCTAGAAGCCGTTGGCCGAGTTTAGACACAGTGGCACAGGCAGGCACGGGCCCTCTAGAAGCTGTGGGCCCTGGGCAGCTGCCTGAATCACCCAAATGGGGACACACCCCAATAACATGAGCCGCTGTCTGAGCTCCAGCAGCACATATTGGGGCTTGGATGTCAAAGTTTTGCCACAGGGGCGAGGAAGGCCTGGGCGTACAAAGTATGTCCGAGGTCTACCGACAGTGTCCCAGTAAGGCACGGGCAGGGCTGCCATCAGGGGGGTAGGGCCAGCACTGGTGTAAGGGGCCCAGGTGGCTGGGGGGGCCCAGGCTCCAAGCATTTCTGTTATAGATTATTATGGACAGATGAATTAGTTATGTTCCGGGCCCCCCTGTGCTATTGGTACCTTCCTGATTACGTTCAGCGGCGGAGCTTTTATTCCTGGGCAGAAGCACCGAAGACCAAGGCTGGAGCGGAGCACAGCTGCTGCCTCCTGCTTCTTTCCTTAGTAAAATGAGACACCGTCCGACCAATGGTCCTGAGAGGGGGAGGGAGAGTGAGAAACACTGACTGACGCTGAAAGGAGGAGGGAGTGAGCCTGAGAGACGCCATCGATGCTGATAGAGTGGGGAGGGGAGGGGGGGCAATGGGGACAAACCGCTGCTCAGGCCAATGCCTCACCCATTAAACTGTTGGTTGCCTGAATGGCAGTTCAATCTGTGCCGCTGCTTTTCAGCAGCTACAAACCCCAGCACAATCACAGGGCATGCTGGGACTTGTAGTTCCTCAGCCGCTGGAAGGTAATACTTCCTCTGTTATTGTGTGAGCTCTGCGATGTGAAGAGCTGAGATCCTTCTTGGTCGCTCCGGCCATTGCTTCCTTCACTTGGCTGTCCTGGGTGTGAACAATGTATCAATTCTGTATCCCAATTCCATTGTTTTCTCTTTCTTGCCCTTCTCCCTTCCTCACCCTGATCTCCTCATCCTGACCTCTTCATTTCACCCTCCTCCGTCTCCCTTAAACTCCACAAACCGTTATGCCTCAGAGATCCTGATCACCGAGCGTAAGTGCCGCCATCTTTAATTGCTTGGCAACAATCACTGATATGGTGTCTGCAGAGGGAGCTGTGTGACAAGATGGCTGATCGGACCCGCGCTGTCACCCAGATGCTGCCTGATGGTTCTGTCACCTGTGCATGAGTGCTGGATGACGGTGCAACGCTCTGCAGACTGGCACTGCTCTTCAGAGTTGTAATGTTCTGCGGACGCGGCCGTTGTGCTGTCAGGCCGATGGATGATGCTCTGCTTTGGCCACAATGCTCCGCACAGGCCCGGGTTTACGTCGCAATGTTCATGTATTTCTTCCCTTGCAGGGGACATCCGCAATGACCTCTATGTGACGCTGGAGAAGGGCGAGTTTGAGAGAGGAGGGAAAAGCGTACAGAAAAACATTGAAGTCACTATGCACGTCCTGTACGCAGACGGCGAGAGCCTGAGGGTGAGGAACCGCCGCCATATTGTTCCAGAGTCCATTATACTGTAACTGCTGAACGAAAAGCTCCGCCATTTTTTATTAAAAAGCCATCTTTGAGTCAGTGACTGTGCCTAGGCTGAGATGATGTCATCAGTCTGCTGCAGGCAGGAGGAAGCATTTCCTCAGTCTCCCCTCCCCCAGTGATCAGTCTGCTGCAGGCGGAAGGAAGCATTTCCTCAGTCTCCCCTCCCCCAGTGATCAGTCTGCTGCAGTGATAAAACTGCAACATTGTAACTTTTCTATCAAGTTGGAAGGTGAGAGTCTGCAGCAGGGGGCTGATTTGTATCAGACATTTGTGAACACAGCCCAGAACTGCACAGACACCGGGATTTACTGCTTTGTGTCATACTAAACAATGGAAATGATTTAAGAATGTGTCACTGATGAAACTTCTACCGTCTGTGTCTCCAGGACTGCGTCAGTCTGGGTACCGGGGAGCCGCCGCGGACGCAGTATCATTCCTTTGTCCTCTACCACAACAACAGCCCGCGGTGGGGGGAGCTGATCAAGCTGCCCATCCCTATCGATCGGTTCCGGGGTTCCCATCTGCGCTTCGAGTTCAGGCACTGCTCCAGTATGTAGAGACCGGCCATTGCGCCAAGTCATGTGACCCGTTGTCTCTGTTGTGTCATGTGAACGCTGCACTCCATTGTGTCATGTGATTGTCCCGGCATCCCGCTATGTGTCATGTGTCCAGTGCCGCAGCTTTCTGCCATGTGGCCAGCGCTGGCGTGTCTCTTTGTCATGTGACCCCTGCTGGCGCTGCTTCCCGCCGTTTGTCGCACGCGTTGCGCGTTCACCGGGGTGAATGCACGCGCCGTCACTCTTCTCTCGTGTTGCAGCAAAAGACAAAGGCGAGAAGAAGCTCTTTGGATTCTCCTTCACTCCCCTGATGAGAGATGACGGGACGACGCTGTCGGACAATATCCACGATCTCTACGTCTACAAGGTATGGCCTCCCCCGTGCGCAGTGGGTGTTGTCTCTCTCCTCTTGCGGCAGTCTGTGACTCTTGTCTCCCTTTTGCAGTGCGATGAGAACAGCACCTTCAACAACCATGCACTGTACCTGGGCCTGCCGTGCTGCAAAGACGACACCAGCGGCTGCCCCAACATCCCTTCCAGCCTCATCTTCCAGCGCAGCCCCAAAGAGACCTTCTGTATCTCCACCCAGCTCTCCTCCACCAAGCTCACCCAGAATGGTACGGCTCCCGCCGTGCCACCGATGCCCATCCCTACACAACATACGGCATGTGTCCGCAGCCTCGCCAACATTGCCCCACAACCAGACTGCATCCCGAGCACCCTCCATGCTTTTATATCCAATATACAGGACAGCCCTGTCCCCAGCACGGAGCCCCGCCCCTTCACAGCTATCACCCAGAATGGTACCACTCCCGCCGTGCCACCGATGCCCATCCCTACACAACATACAGCATGTGTCCGCAGCCTCGCCAACATTGCCCCACAACCAGACTGCATCCCGAGCACCCTCCATGCTTTTATATCCAATATACAGGACAGCCCTGTACCCAGCACGGAGCCCCGCCCCTTCACAGCTATCACCCAGAATGGTACCACTCCCGCCGTGCCACCGATACCCATCCCTACACATAGGCAGGACAGATGCTGGAGCGGGGTCCTCAGACAGATGGTCAGAGCAGGCAGCAGGCAGTAGAAGAGTCGGCACTGATTAGGCGCAGGCATGTCTATACTAAACAGAGTCCAGGTTCTGGACAAGTAGACCAATGGCAGTCTATAACAACGACAGGTCAATGATCAGGAGAACAGTAAGGAGAAGGCATGGACAGACAGACAGAAGTCATAGAGACCTGAGCAGACAGACGTCATAGAGACCTGAGCAGACAGACGTCATACAGACCTGAGCAGACAGAAGTCATAGAGACCTGAGCAGACAGACGTCATACAGACCTGAGCAGACAGACGTCATACAGACCTGAGCAGACAGACGTCATACAGACCTGAGCAGACAGACGTCATACAGACCTGAGCAGACAGACTAACTTGTTGACTATTCCCATGCTGAATGTCCATCGGCCTAATTAAGCACTACTAAAAAAGGACAGGTGTGCACTGGGGAAACCAAAGCTGCGCTGTTGAGAAACAACCAGTAAAGGGTAAAGCTTATCAATACAATTTCCACTCCATAACCAGCATACAGGACAGCTCCCTGCCTACAGCTATGCCCGCACCCCTTCATGGAGAACAACCACAGCTGTACCTCGCACCATCCATGCCTCATGACAAGGCTGTGCCCATATAAGTACCCGGCAGTATACCCACCGCATGAAACATTACTAAGCCCAAAGCATCACATCCCCTACTTCACATCACACTTTATGGTAAAGTGCCAGTTACACCGCCCTCACGTCTCCATAACCATGAACGGCGCTCATTCTTCTCCACCAACACTCCGAATATTGGTTCTATGCCCACAAGAGTAACAATTCTGCCGTCTAATGTACCTCGGGGGGGTCCTGTGCACGCGGCACTGCCCACACCGCTCCCATGCCTTCCCTTAGGGTGGTACAGACTCACAATGCTGCCCATAGCACAACATCTCCTCCACTGCCGCTACCTAACCTTCACCTCGCCTGCAACCCAACCTCCCGATCACATTCATTATGTGACCCGATCACAGACAACTCCTCTCCTGCACCACAAAAAAAATGGCCGCTCCCCCTCTCATTGTGTCTCCACTCGTTTCCGCAGTTGACCTCCTGGCTCTCTTGAAGTGGAAGGTCTACCCGGACCGGCTACTGGACATTCTGGGCCGCCTGCGCCATGTGAGCGGGGAGGAGATTGTTAAGGTAAGGATCTGTGAGGGTCAGAAAATCCCATTAGGTTGTAGAACTGATCGGGGAGTCACCAAAGGTCCCCTGTGCGAGACCAATTTTCGGGCCCCTGCTGTGAACTATAACAATCATTCCTTGTATTGACATCTAGATAAAAGTGAGCCGTGTCCGTGGGAAGGGCCCCAGCACCCATCTGGCCCACCTCTATTATAAACGGTTCCCCGTGCAGCTGCACAATGCGCACCAATGTATAAAATGTGTGTATGGCGTCCCTCCCAGCTCCTGGCGACCAGTGATGATTGGGACCGAGCTCCTCTGTCCACCCCGAGCTCCTCTGTCCACCCCTAGCATTGGATTATACTGTATAAAGCAGAATAATCAGCGCCGATAACATGTTAGATGACATCAATAGACATTTGGGGGGTATTTATAAAAATCGTCACTCGACCATTCAATCTATGTGAATATTTGTGTGTGAATAGAGGCGAAAAATTAGCCTTTCTTTTCAGGTCAAATGTACCGTAATACCGCACTATGGCCACTAGAGGAAGCGGAGAATCATTTCTTTCCTATGCGCTTCAGCTCCATCTAGTGGCCATAATGTGGTATTGCGTCACATTACATTCGACGTAAAATGAAACTATACTAAGAACATTCATTCATGCCTGTGTGTGCGCAGATTGGATGTTCGCAGAGATTTGCTGGGCGAATGGCTTTGCGAATTGTTTATAAATACACCCCCATTCTGTGAGCTTTCTAACATCT